CCCAACCAGCTGTCCAGTTTTTTATCTCACACCTTATTTACACGACGAATTCATCATATAATCAGCCATATATTTTGTGGCGTATGTTGCCACTGTCTCAACCAGCTCATGACAGGGCTGAACGGAATTACCAATTAATGTTTGTTCAGGNATTTTAGACCGCGGACGGGATGGTGGATATGCACTATTGATAAACTCTAATCAGAACGAAACTGGAGCCTAGTGCTACCGAGTACATGGTTGATTGGAAGAGATGAGGAATGAGCGTGAAGATCAAGTCTGAAGAATGGTCAGCTCTGATCAATCAATATGAATTATCACGCGCACCTACTCAAAAATAAATGTGAGTTAAATATGAGGTTCATTGAATTGGTAAACTGGACCCTTCGTACGGAAGATGTGTGTCTGTGTTACTACAGCACAACCTAGCTCATACCACAACTAATCGGGATCACCGATTCACGTTTGTTCCGAATCTGGCTTCCGTAAAACTCCGTCTGTTGCAAGTTCAGTGGTTATCAATCTGGACACGGTTGGATATTTGTCAATGCCGATTGAAAGCATATCACCAAAGTAGCTCTTTCGTTTAGGCATTCGGACAAAACTGTATCGTTAGAGCTGCGGTGTCACATTTTTTTACATTTTATTCAAACTCAGTGCTGAGGAATAATCAATCTATTGATGCAAATCCATCGATCTATTCATGATTCGAAAATTGGACCACCCGTATGAAAATCATGTATTACCACTGTTGCTCCTGTATCGGTAGATATGCACTAGTTATGAGTGCTACTGAGCTGAACAAGTCAAGTCTGATGATTCTGTAGTAACTGCACTTCGCAACTGGTGATTGAGATCACATTCTTGTTTAACAGTTTAACCATTAACGCTCGTTGCTTCCATAAGCACAAGCACACCGTCCAAAGCTGTTGTATTCAAGTGCAGTGTTTTGTTCCGGCCTCTCCTTCTGTTTCACAACGTTTACAGAGTGCTGTTGAGATTGCACTGCCGTGTCGATCGCTCTTTGAGCTGCTTGGGGAGCGTTAGGCGTTCAAAGTTAGCAATTCCGGTATGCAAAATGGACCGAGCCGATTGACCGTATGCTTCCCAGATGTGTAGCCGAGTGGATGAACTAAGAACTGTGCATCACGGTGGATTGATTACGCAGTCAAAATTAATAATGGATTTTAATAATCTACCGTTTGTTATTATTATTTTTTTCAATTTACGAAACATTTTGCGACCGTTTTTTTTTTCATCGAACCCTCAGCCGGTGCACTGTACTAATAATCTGGTCAGCGACCATCCAAGACCATTATTAATCGCAAAAACGAAACAGGTAAACATGAATTGTCTCGTGATTCCGAGAACAGTCAGCTTCCATGTCAGATTGTAACCACGCTGCTCCGATTGCAACCGTAACGGCTGTCCACAAAGTAGACACTTTGGTTTGGCGGGCCCAATGAATTGCAGACCGCCTGTGGTGTCTGGTGTGATGATCACTAAGATAAACGTCTGTCCATGTGACCCGTGGATGCACTGGACTGAACAGATTCGTCGATGAGG